CCACCTCGGCCTCCCAAAGTGCTGGGATTACAGGCTTGAGCCACCGCGCCCGGCCCTCCATACTGTTTTTCATAGTGGTTGCACTAGTTTACATTCACACCAAAAGTGTAAAAGTGCTTTTTTGTTTTTTAACCATTCATGCCAACATCTATTATTTTGTGATGTTTTAATTATGGCCATTTTTGGCTGGGCATGGTGGCTCATGCTGTAATCCCAGCACTTTGGGAGGCTGAGATGGGTGGATTATCAAGAGTTTGAGACCAATCTGGCCAACATGATGAAACTGCCTGTCTACTAAAAATAAAAATATCAGCCGGGCTTGGTAGCGGGTACCTGTAACCCTAGCTATTTGGGAGGCTGAGGGATGAGGCCCCAGGAGGTGGAGACTGCAGTGAGCTGAGATTGTACTGCACTCCATCCTGGGCAATAGAGCAAGACTCAGTGTCAAAAAATTATGTCCATATTTTTTGTTTTTTTGAGCTGGAATGTCAATCTTGTTGCATAGGCTGGAGTGCAATGGCACTATCTGGCCATTCTTACAGGAGTAAAATGGTATCACACCGTGCTTTTGATTTGCATTTTAAATCAAAGTCCCATTTATTTATCTTCATTTTAATTGCATTTGCTGTTGGGTTCTTGGTCATGAAGTCTTTGCCTAAGCCAATGTCTACAAAAGTTTTTCTGATGTTATCTTCTAGAATTGTTAGTTTCGTGTCTTAGATTTGAGTCTTTAATCCATCTTGATTTTTCTATAAAATGAGAAACAAAGATCTGGTTTTATTCCTCTACGTGTAGTTTGACAGTTATCCTAGCATCATTTGTTGAATATGGCGTCAATTCCCCACTTTGTGCTTTTGTTGACTTTGTCAAAGCTCAGTTGGCTGTTACTATTTGGCTTTATTTCTAAGTTTCTTATTCTGTTCCATTGTTCTATGTGCCTATTTTTATACCAGTACCATGCTGTTTTGGTAGCTATAGCCTTGTAGTATAGTTTTAAGTTGGGAAATGTGATGCTTCTAGATTTCTTCTTTTTGCTTAGTTTTGCTTTGGCTATGCATGCTTTTCTTTGGTTCCATAAGAATTTTAGAATTGTTTTTTTCAAGTTCTGTGAAGACTGATTTTATTCTGATGGGAATTGACTTGAATGTGTAGATTGCTTTTGGTAAAGTTTGTCATTTTTACAATATTGGCTCTACTCATCCATAAGCATGGGATATTTTTTCATTTGTTTATGTACTCTGTAATTTCTTTCAGCAGTGTTTTCTTGATTTTCTTTGAGAGATTTTTTACTTCCTCGGTTAGCTATATATTTTTTTCTTTTCTTTTCTTTCTTTCTTTTTTTTGAGACAGAGTTTCGCTGTTGTTACCCAGACTGGAGTGCAATGGCACGATCTCGGTTCATCGCAACCTCTGCCTTCTGGGTTCAAGCAATTCTCCTGCCTCAGCCTCCTGAGTCGCTGGGAATATAGGCGCGTGCCACCATGCCCAGCTAATTTTTGTATTTTTAGTAGAGACGGGGTTTCACCTCGTTGACCAGGATGGTCTCGATCTCTTGACCTCATGATCCACCCGCCTCAGCCTCCCAAAGTGCTGGGATTATAGGCGTAAGCCACTGCGCCGGCTCTTTTTTTTTTTTTTGAGATGGAGTTTTGCTCTTGTTGTCCAGGCTGGAGCGCAATGGCGCAATCTGGGCTTGCTGCAACCTTCACCTCCTGGGTTCATGCAACTCTCCTGCATCAGCCTCCCAAGTAGCTTGGACTACAGGCATGTGCCACCACACCCAGATAATTTTTTGTATTTTTAGTAGAGACAGGTTTTCACTATGTAAGCAAGGATGGTCCCAATCTCCTGATCTCGTGATCCGCCCAGTTGGAAAATTCAATCTCCTGTATCAGGCAGTAAATGGGTTTTTTTTGTTTATTTGTTTTTTGAGACAGAACTCAGAAATAAACAAAAGGCTGTTGGCTTTCTAGGTTTTCCATGAGTCCACATTTAACATAAAATTTATTTCCTCTTAAATACTAGGCTTCGTTTCTCCAGTTTGGGTGTATAGCACTGATAACTGTCATAGGTAATTTGACATGGACTATAGAGGTTATTCAAATGGCAATCTAAAAATTTCAGTACTGGCTGATTAAGCATACGTATGTGAAAGAGTATTTTCCTGATATTTAATTAATTTCTATTTTGCCTGGTTTATAAATTTCATGAATCATCTCTTCATTAGAACTCATACGATCCCTACCCGATCCAAACAGTATGATCCTCAAAGTATCAGAATTTTGAAGTTATTAGAAACTACATCAGAATTAAGATGTTAACTGTAGAAATGACTTAAAATGATTAAAAGAAACAAATGAAGTTGATTATATCTGTGGTCTACAATATTTTGTTATAGTAACCGTAATTATGACTAATAGCATATACTCAAATATATTAGATTATTAGAAATTGTAGGCCAGGTGTGGTGGCTCATGCCTGTAATCCCAGCACTTTGGGAGGTCAAGGTGGGTGAATCACAAGGTCAGGAGATGGATACCATCCTGGCTACATGGTGAAACCCCATCTCTACTTAAAAAAAAAAAGAGGCTAGGAGCAGGGGCTCACACCTGTAATCCCAGCTGAGGTTGAGAGTTCAAGATCAGCCTGACCAACATGGAGAAATCCCATCTTTATAAAATAAATAAATGAGAGAGAGAGAATAGACAATAAAAAACGGTAAGAAAATACCACAACTGACCCCATAGAAATATAAATAACCACCTGAAAATAAACACCTCTATGCATATAAACTGGAATCTAGAAAAAATGGATAAATTACTGGACACATACACCCTCCCATGACTGCATAAAAAGAAGTTGAATCTCTGAATAGACCAATAACATGTTCTGATATTCAGGCAGTAATATATAGCCTACCAACCAAAACGTTTTCAGGAGCAGCTGGATTTACATATAATTCTACCAGAGGTACAAAGGGGAGCTGGTACCATTTCTTCAGAAACTATTTCAAATCATAGAAAAGGAGGAACTTCTCCTTAATTCATTCTATGAGGCCAGCATCATCCTGATACCAAAACTTGGCAGAGATAGTACAAAAAAAGAAAACTTCAAGCCAATATTTCTGATAAACCTACATGCAAAAATTCTCAACAAAATAAAAAATTAACTCAAGATGGATTAAAGACTTAAATGAGAGAACCAAAAGTATAAGAACCCTATAAGAAAATCTAGGCAATCTTTTTTTCTTTTTGAGACGGAGTTTCGCTCTTGTTACCCAGGCTGGAGTGCAATGGCGCGATCTCAGCTCACCGCAACCTCCACCTCCTGGGTTCAGGCAATTCTCCTGCCTCAGCCTCCTGAGTAGCTGGGATTACAGGCACGCGCCACCATGCCCAGCTAATTTTTTGAATTTTTAGTAGAGACGGGGTTTCACCATGTTGACCAGAATGGTCTTGATCTATTGACCTCGCGATCCACCCGCCTTGGCCTCCCAAAGTGCTGGGATTACAGGATTGAGCCACCACGCCCGGCCAAAAATCTAGGCAATATTGTTCAAAACACAGATGAAAACTTCAAGAGCAATTGCGACAAAAGCAAACATTAACAAATGGAATCTAATTAAACTAAAGAGCTTCTTCACAGCAAAAGAAACTGTCATCTGAGTGAACAGACAACCTATAGGATGAGATACCATTTTTGCAATCTATCCAGCTGACAAAGGTTAATATCCAGAGTCTACCGGCAATTTGAACAAATTTAGGAAAATAATACAACCCCATGAAAAAGTGGGCAAAGGGCTGGGCGCAGTGGCTCATGCCTATATTCCCAGCACTTTGGGAGGCCGAGGCGGGTGGATCACGAGGTCAAGAGATCAAGACCATCCTGGTCAACACGGTGAAACCCCGTCTCTACTAAAAGTACAAAAACTTAGCTGGGCATGGTGGTGCATGCCTTTAGTCCCAGCTACTCAGGAGGCTGAGGCAGAATTGCCTGAACCCAGGAGGCGGAGGTTGCGGTGAGCTGAGATCACGCCATTGCACTCCAGCCTGGGTAACAAGAGCGAAACTCCATCTCAAAAAAAAAAAAAAAGTGGGCAAAAAAACATGAATCAGACACTTCTCAAAAGAAGTCATTTATGTGGCCAACAAACATGAAAAAAAGCTCAACATCAGTGATCATTAGAGAAATGCAAATCAAAACCAGGATAAGATAACCATCTCACACCAGTCAGAATGGTGACTATTAAAAAGCCAAAAAATACAACACATGCTAGTGAGGCTGGGGAGGCATAGAAATGCGTTTAAACTGTTGGTGAAAAAGTAAATTTGGTCAATCACTGTGAAAGAAGTACCACGGTTCCTCTAAGACATACCATTTGACCCAGCAATCTCGTTACTGGGTATATACCCCCAAAATATAAATTATTCATTATAAATATACATGGATGTGTATGTTCACTGCAGCACTATTCACAATAGCAAAGACATGGAATTAATTTAAATGCCCATCACTGATAGACTGGATAAAGAAAATGTGGCACATATGCACCGTAGAATACTATGCAGCCATTAAAAAAGTAAAGATCATGTAGCTTGCAGCAACCTGGATGGAGCTAGAAGCCATTATCCTTAGCAAACTAATGCAGGAACAGCAAATCAAACATCAAATGTGCTCACTTGTCAGTAGAAGCTGAACAATAAGAACACATGGACATATGAAGGGGAACAACAGGCACTGGGGCTTGTTGGGCAAGAGGGAGAGAGCACCAGGATAAATAGGTAATGCATTCAGGGCACTAGGTGATGGGTTGATAGGTGCAGTAAACCACCATGGCACACGTTTGCCTATAACAAACCTGCATGTCCTGCACATATATCCCAGAATGTAAAATAAAATAAAAAATAAACCAATAACAACAATACCGGTAATAGGAACTTCATTTTATTAAGCAAAGTATTAAATTAATTAATCAAAAAATGTAATCTTAGGACTTTGGGAGGACAAGGGGAGCTGAACACTTTAACTCAGGAGTTTGAGACCAGACTGGACAACATGGCAAAACCCTGTTCCTAAAATATAAACTAAAAAAAATAAAAAACAAACAATAAGAACTAGCTAGGTGTCATAACCCTTTTTTCTTTTTTTTGAGATGGAGTCTTGCTTTGTCACCCAGGTTAGAATGCATTGGCGTGATCTTGGCTCACTGCAACCTTGGCCTCCTGGGATCAAGCTATTCTCCAGCCTCAGCCTCCCAAGTAGCTTGGGACTACAGGCATGAACAATTATGCCTGGCTAATTTTTGTATTTTTTTATAATACATAAAATTTTTGTTCCAAAGAAAATCAACTTTTACTTTTGTATTAGTGTATTATATATACAAAGCTAATTCTAATAAAACTGTATAAATAAATCTACCCAATTTGTCGATTTTGACCACTCTAGATTAACATACATGGTTTACAATCTTTATTTTTTTGAGACAGTCTTGCATTGTTGCCCAGGCTAGAGTATAGTGGTGTGTTCTTGGCTCATTGCAACCTCTACCTCCCAGGTTTAAGCGATTCCTCTGCCTCAGCCCCCTGAGTAGTTGGGATTACAGGCGCTCACCACCACGTCCAGCTAATTTTTGTATTTTTAGTAGAGATGAGGTTTCACCATGTTAGCCAGGCTGGTCTCAAACTCCTGACTGCGTGAGCCACCACACCCGACCACTCATTTCTTTTTAAAGTTTGACTACTAGAAAATTCAAAATTCACATGTGGTTCATATTTTATTTTAGAGGACTACTGTCAGGTCTCCATATGCAAGCCTGGATCCCGAAAGTCTGAAGTCCTGACTGCCTGGGTTGATATCTCCCACTCCCCGCCTGCGTTCCCCATTGTCCCTAATCGGGCATCGGAGCTTCCCGGACAAGCCCGTCACCCAACCCTACCATCTTGATTGTTTTGTTTTGAGACAGAGTCTCACTCCTTTGCCAGGCGCCAGGCTGGAGTGCAGTGGTGCGATCTCAGCTCACTGCTGAGTCTTGCACTGTTGCCCAGGCTGGAGTGTAGTGGTGTGTTCTTGGCTCATTGCAACCTCTGCCTCCCATGTTCAAGCAATTCTTCGTCTCAAAACAAAAAAAGATTTGTTTGTTTCAGGAGCAGATAATATAAAAATCTTAAAAAAAAAGAAAGAAAAAGAAAATAAGGTTTATTTGTTTGTAAATATTTCCTGCGAAAAGAAAGCAAATAATAATCCCCTGACACTGTATTGTAGGAAATCTGTGTCTTTGTCTTCTCTTTACCTTTCATCTTCTCTGGGAACAGAGATCTTATCAGAATGTTTTGTTTTTATTTTTTATTTTTTTGAGATGGTGTTTTGCTGTTGTTACCCAGACTGATGTGCAATGGCGCGATCTCGGCTCACCGCAACCTCCGCCTTCTGGGTTCAAGCAATTCTCCTGCCTCAGCTTCCCGAGTAGCTGGGACTACAGTGCGCACCACCATGCCCAGCTAATTTTTGGATTTTTAGTAGAGATGGGGTTTCACCTTGTTGACCAGGATGGTCTCAATCTCTTGACCTCGTGATCCACCCGCCTCGGCCTCCCAAAGTGCTAGGATTACAGGCTTGAGCCACCGCGCCCGGCCAAACTTTGTTTCTAATAAAAATATAAAAATTGGCTGGGAGTGGTGGTGTGTACTTATAATTCCAGCTACTTAGGAGGTAAGGCAGGAGAATCGCTTGAACCTGGGAGGCAGAGGTTACAATGAGCCAAGATAATGTAAACTCTGAAAAAGAAAGATTTATTTATTTATTTATTTTTTCTGAGACAGAGTTTCGCTCTTGTTACCCAGGCTAGAGTGCAATGGAGCGATCTCGGCTCACCACAACCTCCACCTCCTGGGTTCAGGCAATTCTCCTGCCTCGGCCTCCTGAGTAGCTGGGATTACAGGCACGTGCCACCATGACCAGCTAATTTGTTGTATTTTTAGGAGAGACAGGGTTTCACCATGTTGACCATGATGGTCTCGATCTCTTGACCTCGTGATCCACCTGCCTCGGACTCCCAAAGTGCTGGGATTACAGGCTTGAGCCACTGCGTCCGGCCCAGAAAGACTTATTAAAGTTATTTGATTGTTTTATTTGATTCCTGTATCTTTGTCTCTCATTTTCTCTGTTAATTTGTATCTTGTTAATTTCTATGTTGACGTGCTTTTACTTCGTATTTTGTTTTGTGTATCTATACAAATATATTCTTTGTGCTACTCTGGGGATTACATAAAACCTCTAAAAGATACAACAACATATTTCAGTCTGGTAAAAATAAATAAAGTAAAAGTTAAAAAAAAACAACTTAAGTTGCTTCCAAAAATTTTTTATTACATCTGCCCTCAAATTTGCCATTGACATTTCAAATTAAATCTTTATGTTACATATTAATGGCTGGGCGTGGTGGCTCACGCCTGTAATGGCACATATATACCATGGAATGCTATGCAACCATAAAAAAGAATGAGTTCGGGCCAGGCACGGCAAATCCCAGCACTTTGGGAGGCCGAGGCAGGTGGATCACGAGGTCAAGAGATCGAGACCATCCTGGTCAACATGGTGAAACCCCGTCTCTACTAAAAATACAAAAAAATGAGCTGGGCACGGTGGCGAGTGCCTGTAGTCCCAGCTACTCAGAAGCTGAGGCAGGAGAATTGCCTGAACCCAGGAGGCGGACGTTGCGGTGAGCCGAGATCGCGCCATTGCACTCCAGTCTGGGTAACAACAGCAAAACTCCGTCTCAAAAAAAATTAACTGAATTAGAGCAAAAAAGTTCAAAATAATATTACACAAGTTACACCTTAAGTAAAAAACTATTGTATTTTGTAAAATATACTTTAAGTCAAAACTTCAAAAAGACAAAGCAGGACCTACGACAAATTTGTTTATACATGTGTGTATCTATGTGTATGTGTGTCTCAAATTAGAATTTCAAATATATAAAGGAAATACTAACAAAACTGAATAAACACAAAGCAAGCAATATAATTATAGTAGATTATTTCAATACCCTACTTTTTGTAATAATAAAAAAACAAGATAATATTAGTAAGGGCATAGAGGACTAGAAAGATTTCTTTTTTTTTTTTTTTTTTTTTTTTTGAGATGCAGTTTTGCTGTTGTTACCCAGACTGGAGTGCAATGGCACAATCTCGTCTCACTGCAACCTCCGCCTCCTGGGTTCAAGCAATTCTCCTGCCTCAGCCTCCCGAGTAGCTGAAACTATAGGCGTGCGCCACGATGCCCAGCTAATTTTTGTATTTTTAGTAGAGATGGGGTTTCACCTTGTTGACCAGGATGGTCTCAATCTCTTGACCTCGTGATTCACCCGCCTTGGCCTCCCAAAGTGCTGGGATTATAGGCGTGAGCCACCGCGCCCGGGGAAAAAGAATTATTTCTAATGAAGGTAAAGAGAACACTCCTCAACATCAGGATACATGGCCTTCTCAATAGATCATGCAACAATTTTCTTTTCTTTCTTTTTTTTTTTTTTGAAACGGAGTTTCGCTCTTGTTACCCAGGCTGGAGTGCAATGGTGCGATCTCGGCTCACCACAACCTCCGCCTCCTGGGTTCAGGCAATTCTCCTCCCTCAGCCTCCTGAGTTGCTGGGATTATAGGCACACGCCACCATGCCCAGCTAATTTTTGTATTTTTAGTAGAGACGGGGTTTCACCATGTTGACCAGGATGGTCTCGATCTCTTGACCTCGTTATTCACCCGCCTCAGCCTCCCAAAGTGTTGGGATTACAGGCGTGAGCCACCGCACCCGGCCCCAATTTTCTTTATAGACTACCTGTTAGGCCAAAAATAAAGTCTTAACACATTTTTAAAACTGATTTTTTTTTCACAGTCTTGCTCTGTCACCCAGGCTGGAGTGTAGTGCGATGTAGGCAACCTCTGCCTTATGGTTTCCAGCAATTCTCTGCATCAGCCCCCTAAGTGTCTGAGATTATAGGTGTTTAACACCCTGCCTGGGCTAGAAATATTTGATTGTATATTTTGTTATGTATTTTTGACACATAAGTAAAAATAGACAATAATACCTAAAATAAATACAGAGTTTTTTTTCTTTTTTGTCTGAGAATGAGTCTCACTCTGTCCCCCAGGCTGGAGTGCACTGGCCGATCTCAGCTCACCATTACCTCTGCCTCCCACGTTCAAACAATTCTCCTGGCTCAGCCTCCTGAATAGCTGGGATTACAGGTGTACGCCACCACGCCTGCCTAATTTTTGTATTTTTAGTATAGATGAGGTTTTACCATGTTGACCAGGATGGGCTCGATCTCTTGACCTTGTGATCCTCCTGACTCAACCTCCCAAATTGCTTAGATTACAGGCATGAGCCACCGCACCTGGCCACAAAGTTATTATAGTTTTAAAATTATCTTCAAATCCAAAAGTGTTTCTCCCACAGGAAAATAATATAGATTCACAAATAAACAGATGTTGAAATCAGGAGAGTCTTTATGGCTACTCATCTAGACAGGATTAAAAAACTGTTGCAGGTTGGGCATGGTGGCTCACACCTGTAATCTCAGAACTTTGGCCAAGGCTGGAGGACCACCTGAGGTCAGGGGTAAAACCCCGTCTCTACTAAAAATACAAAATTAGCCATGCATGGTGGTGCATGCCTGTAATCTCAGATACCTGGAAGACCAAGGCAGGAAAATGTATTGAACCCAGAAGGCGGAGGTTGCATTGAGCTCTGCTCTTGCCATTGTACTCCACACTGGGCCAAAAGAAACCCCCCTTCGAAAACAAAAAAACAAACAAAACACAAAACACAACCTGTACAAATACTGTCATATACAATTATAATATGAACTAAAAAATCAAAACACAATTAACTGGTGATGTGGCAAACCAAAAAACATGTAACACAAAAATATAAAATTGGAAAACAAAATTAAAACATGTAATGTAGGCTGGGCACGGTGGCTCACACCTGTAATCCCAGCACTTTGGGAGGCCAAGGTGAGTGGATCTGAGGTCAGGAGTTCGAGATCGGTCTGATAAACATGGTGAAACCCCTCTCTCTACTAAATACAAAAATTAGTTGGGCGTGGTGCCAGGCATCTGGAATCCCACTACTTTGGAGGCTGAGGCAGGAGAATCATTTGAACCTAAAAGGTGGAGTTTCAATGAGTCAATACTGGGCCATTGCACTCCACTCTGCACAATAAGAGCAAAACTCCGTTTCAGAAAAATAAATGGAATGTAAAACGTATTGAATACCATCAAATACATGAATGTGTTCATGAAAGGAATCTTAGAATATAGGCAAACAATAATACAGAGGTTACTTTAAGATTAAAACAAGGAAAAAAAAAAGCTTGGCTGGGTGCAATGCCTCACGACTGTAATCCCAGCACTTTGGGAGGTGGAGATGGGAAGTCACCTAGGTCAGGAGTTAAAGACCAGCCTGGCTAACATGGTGAAACCCCATCTCTACTAAAAATACAAAAATTAGCCAGGCATGATGGCACGCCTGTAATCCCAGTTACTAGGGAGGCTGAGGCAGGAGAATCATTTGAACCCAGGAGGCAGAGGTTGCAGTGAGCTGAGATCATGTCATTGCACTTCAGCTTGGGCAACAAAAGCGAAACTGACTCAAAAAATAATAATAATAATAACCCACTCTGAGAACTTCTGAATATTACTTAATTCAAAATTATTTTACTTCAAAAACAAGATAAAAATAAAGACTTTCTGGCTGATGCCCTTTTCGGCCTCAGCCCACCATCACCCAGTGAAAAATAAAATAAATTAAAAGAAGGATTTTCCAAAATAAAAGGTGAGAATGTTCATCACCACTAATACAGCCCTACAAAACATATTGCCCAAGCCAGGCGATGCTGGTTCATGCCTGTAATCCCAGCACCTTGGGAGGCCGAGGCAGGTGGATTGCCTGAGGTCAGGAGTTCAAGACCAGCCTGAATAACATGGTAAAACCCTGTCTGTACCAAAAATGCAAAAGTTAGCTGAGTGTGGTGACACACATCCGTAGTCTGAGCTACTCAAGAGGCGGAGAAAGGAGAATCACTTGAACCCAGAAGGCGGAAGTTGCAGTGAGCCAAAATCATGCCACTGTACTCCAGTCTGGGTGACAGGGCAAGACTCCATCAA